TATAAACAATTGTTTATAACTTTTGAACTATTCAACTACAAACGAAACGGGAATCATTATAATCAACTACAAACGATTCTGAATCAAATGAAAAACGCGGATTTGAGATATCACAATGTCGGGTGCGGGCCATTTTTTCAATTTGTTTTGTTTATTAATTGATGAAACTACAAACGAAACTGTTGTTACTACAATCAACTACAAACGAAATACTATCATTTTCCTTAAAAGAGAAAGTTAATTTTTTGAAAGTCGAGTGCCAGGTTCACATAGCTTCGTATTTGTCTCATAATTTTTGTTGAATGTATTAAAAATATTAACCCACGTGTCATACTTGTCTCAGAATTATTTAACCATAAAAACAATTACAAACATCATATAAAAACTACATTAATCGACATAGAAGTGTATGTTACCTTTGGTAAGCCTTGCCTTTTGGTAATCTTTCCTGTTAAATAGAACAATAATAAAACTCTGCTAGCATTATTTCTAATTTATTCCTAGAACGGCTTACAACCGAAAAAAAATATACAGACACAAATTGTGGAAAAATAGTTGAGACACAAGGATTAAATTACCTAGATCGTGTTGGAAATGTTCACTTATATTAATTACTACGCAGTTTACCGCGTACTTATGCAATAATTCTTTCTTGTTTGTTACGTCACGCCGACTTAAGAGTTTGTAGTGTAACCAGACGTAACGCCGATCGTTTACATGCACATAATTGATAGCGAGGCAGGATCGAAGTTCAATTACACGCCGAAATTCTCGTAGGAGCTCCGGCAAGCTTCGGCAAGCTTCGACGGGGTTCGTTATGAATAGAAATCGGAATGAAACGGAAGTCACATTGCTACATTTTCGACCGGAATTAATTCAATCTCCAAGTTCTAACGTTCCACATAATTAAGATCGGCCGAGCGATTTTCTCGGCTGGGGAGATAGAATTCTTTTTGTCTCAGGTTTGATACTATAATTGGTGGAAGCAGGGCGTCCTCGACACCCTTATAGGCCATCGAGTACAATAGCCTGCGTTTCTGTGCCTTATCAAACACTCAGTGACTATCAAATTAACGTTTAATAATATTCTTTTCTAGGGGATATTTATTACTAGACTGCAGAACCTCATGCATTTATAGGAAATTGGAATATGCAAGAAATTACAAAATGCACACGGTATGCAATATAAAGAATATAAAGAATATTGAGAGTAAAGTTCATATTATAATATTTGCAGAGTAAAATAAATTCATATTTAGGTTCAAGAACCTACAAAATTCAAACAATATGCATGAATATAAAAAAAATTGAAAGTAAAATTCATGGTGTAATATTTGCAGAATAAAATAAATT